GTTGGTAAAAAAACGCGGGAACGCGATTTCAAATGGAACACAAATGAATTTTATTTAAACAAAAATTTGACATAGATTGGAACTTAAAACCTGGAATGTAATATTACATGACAAAGAAAAGGAAAAATCAAGCTTTATAAGGGGAAGAAACCTATTGATTCTGAAAAAAATCTAATTGAAAATGGCGGTTAGTTAAACTATGAAGAGTATACTGTACAATTATACATTATATATCTTCATTCTAGTTTAATTTATGGAAGCACTTTTATACCACGATAAAGATTTAAACCAAGTTCACAGGACAAGTGAAATTATAGAGGTGAACCTCAGTGGTTTATCTATTTTTTTTTCAAACACATTAAGTAAGGATCATTCTTGATTTTTGTTTTGTTATATTTACAAAAATTACATAAATACTGTATTATATCCATTCTAATTGATTATTGTTGGTTGCTAAAACCATTGTATGTGATGGTACCGCTACACTTAACGAGTAATATAATACGCGTGGCTGAGATAGTTCGGTGGTTTTAGGTAATTAAGAATTGGCAGTTTTTGTTTCGTATTGTGGTTGAGCTGAACGAAGTGTCTTTGACAATTTTTGCAGTTAAACAGAAGCTTTTTATGTTACCGGCTAATTGGCGTTGTGTTTGTTGTCGATTGTTGTCCTCATAGGGCTATTGTACCCTTATTATAATATAAAGTAACTCACGAAAAGTGTTATTATATCCTAAACGAATCTGGTCTCGAGCTAGCTAACGCATAATTGGCGCCCAACGTGGGGCATGAAATAAAAAAAAAGGCTGTAATAAATGTATCAGTAAAAGAGTGTAATCGCACTGTTTAGTCTTAACTTAAATAAAAACTGTTTATAACCCTTCTAAAAATATGTAAATTTTTTAAATACATCACTAGCCTTTATGTCTTTTATCACAAATTAAAAACTTCACTGTGACAGCACGATTTGGTTGGTAATTTTAAACAACCCGCGTTCGTTCAAACATGGTGTATGCGTAGAAAATTGAGCATTTGCCTGTGTTGACCATTTAAATATATATAAACCGTGTGCTAACCGATTAAAATTATTTTTTCTGTATATAAATTTGGTGCAATAATTGTCACAAGCCGAGAAAATAATCAAACTTTGTCAAAATTTTAGGTGTCCGTTTTTTTTACTGGTCATGGTCAATAAAATATAAAAAAAGTTTTGGCGGCTGCTGACTGGACAAGTCCTGTTATTTTGGGGTCCAACTGGGATCTTAATAAATTTTAGTTTTGAAAAACTACTTTTATATATATGGTGTAATAATTATTGCGATGTGATAAAAGTGTTGCTGTCGCAACAGGTCTTGTTATTGCATGCTTGGACTATTTCTTTTTTTATATTTAATACCATAAAAACTATAAATAATACAAATTAGAAACTGTGATAATACAGTTTTACGATGTTATGTTATGTTGGCAATGGGGTGTTAATACACTGCGACCTAAAAGATCTATTAATTGTGCCCCCTTGTCGCCAATGCAACAAGGAAATGTCTCAATGTCTATAACGACCCTTCCAATCCTATTTTCTCAAGGAAGTGTAGGATTTGAAGTGGCTTCAAGTTAGGTAAATCTCCCACTTCTATTTGATATCCTTCTAGATGTAGTGCCCTTGGATTCTGGAGTGCTACACATTCAGTTAGGATGTAAATGGAGGTTTCGTCCTCCTCCTCACAGAATCTGCACTCACTATCCTCTACTACTCTCAGTTTACTTAGGTGTCCTTTTAGTCGGCAATGCCCGGTAACCATGCAATATGTAGCCTGTTCTTGCTCAGGCAGATGCAGGCTTCCGATCTTTCCTGGTTATATTCACCCAGAAGTATCTTGGCCTGTGTCAGCCCCAAGAGATTGTTCCAATTATCGGTTCTTCTAATGCCCAATTCTTTTTTAATATCTTCTAATATTTTACGATGCGTTAATTGTTAATAACTTTTAAGAATCTTCACTTTTTTATCGTGGGCTCTCTGACTATAATGCATCATAACAACTGTGGCCTAGTCTGAAAAATTTTTATGGACTTCCCCTTAGTCCGGACAAACGACAACATTAACTAGACTAATTTTATTTCCAACAACCGAATTCGAATTTTACTTAACATAAGGCTTTAAATCAATCGGCCAGAAAGGTTATGAGGTCGGTATTTAAAAATTATTTCAAGGAAGTATAATTGCATTATTAATGCCAGTTATTATCTGTTCAATGTATTTTTCTGGTTGCAACTATTATTGTAGCTAAAACACCATTTATTAAGAAGTGCAATTGTGTAAAACATGCAACATAGTTGTACGAGCTGGTTAGTTCATAGAACAAACCATTCCCATTCAATTTAGTAGGCGTCTCGCCTTCTAATGAGACAGCTCTGCCAGCTTAACATCAAACATGAGCTGAATACTTGCAAGTAAATAAGGGCAGTCTGGATAATTGATTATAATTTGTTTAGACTACTAAAATAAACACTTAGACGATATTGTCCAGGATTTCTTGTGAATTTGGCTTTTTTCATGACCACTTTCATTTGTAAAAAGATTATATAGAAAAAATATATTTCAAGAAATTATAATTTGAACCAACCTCGTAAGGAAATAGTTGTTAGAAAAGTTTAGTATTTTACTAACATGTTAATTTGTGATGACAATGTCATAGACCCCACCTTCGTAAAATATAGCCACAATTACGTGCTCATTTTATAATATACTATTAAAAATTGAGGAATGATAAATTAATCCTTCATATGGCAGTGTGGATTATTAAGCTCAAACCAGTTGTGTGTGCAATAGTCAATCATTTATATGTATTAGGAATTTAAATCCTCTAGAGTTTCAGTCTTTTATTAAATATTTTAAAATAAATGTAATATTTTATTATATACCTATCGTATACAGTGTGCCCAAAAATAGCATCGACATATTGGCAATTCTTCTTATGAAAATAAAGCTGATAATTATAAATTTTACTGAGGTCCCCCCTCTCACCACAAAATTTTACGCTAATATTTAAACAAAGCCTTTATCGATGTATTATATGTACGTATATGTATCATAATTATCGAATACTTATTTTAATCCTGCTCGAAGGACCACAAAAAAACTTGAGAACTGTGTCAGTTGTTTGAAAATTTCATTTATGCTTAGATAATTCCCTAGTTTGCGAGAAATACCGACGCAATTCAATCGAACTAAGTATACGGAACGAACAGAAATAACATATTTTATCATAAAAAAATTCTAGCCGTCTGCTAAACAGAGATAGCGTCATTATTCATTTGAGATAAACATGTTTAATGCGTTTCACACCGTCGATGCCACAGCTCTATTTAGAAAAACAGACGTTTACCACAATAGACCCAATTACTTTAAACAACAATGATATAAGTTGCTTTTTTATAATTCATAATCACAAAAATAATGACCGATGTCTGAAGAGGGCCTATTTGTGATAATTAATTATTTTTTTAAATTAAATTTTGTTAAATATTTTAATGCTATTATTATAATTATTATTTAATTAGTAGAGTTAAGCTAAGAATAAATTAATGAATTTTGAAAAATGCAATAAAACATTTAAAAATTTATTTAAAAACGTCATACTGTTAAATCGATTATTTTTAATTGCGCCGTTGTTCTGCCAACCAGTGAATTGTTTAGACTTGAAGATTGACTATTGCGAAACTCGTGTGAATAAAATAAAGAGCGTTTTTATATATTATTAAGGACCCAACTAAGATATACGATTAACAAAAACATTAGAGGCATCTTAATAAACGTTTCACATATTTTCTAACATTTATCTAACATTAGCAGTAGTTGTTAAAGTAATAAAAACATGATCAGTTAAAATGTATAAAAATGTATATAGGTGAGGTATGGAGGTTTTGTGCAAATATGAATTAAAATAAATTGAAAGTCAAATACTTTGGGTATAAAGGAAAAATGGTTTCATTATAGACATGAAATGTTTTAGTTTATTAATGGAAACCGAGATCATATTGTAACTTAAAATATTGAAATTTGTATCAAGAACGTCTCTTCTTCAATTTATTCATAACGGAAAGCAAAAATACGAAAAAAAACCTTTTTTGAAACATATAATTTCTCAGTTTAAAATGGAAAAAATGGTGATCTCTGAATCTTAAAATTGAATTTGGAACCTTAAATGCAAATCAATCGGTCATTCCAAAAACCTAACAAGTCAGGTTTTGGCAAAATTGGGTTTATATAATGAAAAGTCTTGTCAGGGATACCTAGGCATTATGTGCAAAAATCACACAAGTCGCATTAACTGTTAGATTTTAAATTTTTGTATGCGTTACAAATACCATACAAGATGAAGATCTATGTGGTTTTTGCACTATTTTGTCTTTGCCTATTTATATTTAGATTTTGTTTTTTATTAGGTAATTTACTGTAAAAGAAATTCATCTTTTTTTAACAGATTGTGTAGATACACGTTTTTATGTTTGTTTGGGGCCTCTGTAGAGTTACAAGTATTACATATCATAAAATTTAACAGACATGCCAACAAAGTAGAGGTTTGTAATTTTAAGAGCTTAAGTATTTAGGGTTTTATTAATAGATGGCACAATAATATTATTATCTGTAAAAATTGGAGTTAGAAGGTTTTCATGTTAAGGTAACGTTATGTTGTTTTTGAAATGACCGATTCAATTGTTTTTTAAACAAATAAGACTTGTTTCTATTTACCTTGTTGTACACTTTATATTGATATAAGTTACCAGTTATCAATGTATTTCTTGTGACCAATTATTAGAGACCAAGAAAACATCCTATTTTCACAGCTAGTTTTAACTGATCACGTTGGTACCGAAAGATCTTTGTGTGAATATTGGTCTTAAAAAAACAAACTTTCGATGTTCACCCTAAATTCTTTGGAGTAAATAATTAGCACACAGAAAAGCCACATAATATATATAGTTTACATATTACATTATCGTTTTCACATTTCTAGTGTCTGGCGAGGTTTCATGCTCATTTCGTCAGAAGTAAGAGTGAGACAACCTACAAGAGCTACCAGCGTTCTGTCGAGCCAAGTGACTGGGTTTGGGTAGATGAGACCTCCTTCGTAGAAGCCCAGATGGCCTCCGTGAGATACTTGAATGTAAGCAGTGTTATTTTTTTCAGCTGAAAAAAAAAAATGTTATGTAGACTTAAAACAGAAAGTAAATAGGAAATCATAAGAATGATAATCTTAAACTTTATACAATTAATTCAATACTCTACATTATATTGAAATGTAGTGTCATTGAAATTAATAAAGATATTAAATATTATTTTAAAAAAATACCAATAATTGGAAGGAACTAAATTTAAAAAATTGTTATATCGCGTGAATGCCACTGAAGATTGCATAGGCCATCTACAAAATTTAGGCCACTTAATGTTATCGACTCTAAATACGCTAAATTAGTTATGACGTAATTTTGGTTCCACTGACAATTATTACAACAATAGTATTTTTTTGAGTGCGTTTTGTTCGTTTTGTTTACCTAAATTAAATTGTTTTTAAACTTTTATAAAAATGTATATTTCTAGAGCAAGTAGATAACATTTATCAAGAATATAATCATTTAGTAACCAATTACATACCTTTAAACTACTTATTACGACTTGCCAACGATATTTTATAAAAAAATAAGAAGATAAATAGTTATATATCAAAAAATATTGTTAAAAGTTTGGTTAGAATTAAATGTCAGTGGAATCAAAATTATGTTCATACTTTTGGATGTATACCTGAGTCACAGTATCTGTCTGCAATTTTAATCACAATATTCTAGTGGATAACTACCCATACAGCACACATTGTTTTAGAAGTGTTTTAGAAATATTTCAAGCAGAAGTTTCTGAAATATTTTAGTTAAATATTTCACTGAAAATGTTTCTGAAACATGGTATACATGTTACACAAAAGGTGACTAAACGGGTTATGTTGTTAAACAATTAACGAAAAATTTCTGATTTGTAAGAAGAAGATGGGATATGTAATTATTTTATTTCATCATGTTCTGTGATTTCATCCTATGTCCCTGTCCAGCCACCAGCTAGAAATAAGCGTATATTCTAAATAATTATAGATTTGAGGGCTACGGTCGATATTAGGGACAGTAATTTTGTCACTTTTTCCATAAAAATTAAGTAAAACCATAATATTTTTACAATTTTTAATCTTCTATAAGTGTGCACTAACCTAATTAAAGCAACAAATATTATTAAAACACATTTGTAAGCTAAAAAATTAAGAATATGCATTTATTCACGACATTCTCACGTAGCCATATTGTTTTTAATTTTTTCGATTTGACAGTCACACTAAGAGCGCCTGTGCGTGATTTTAGCGATGGTACCAATTGCTTTTTGTTATAAATATATTCATGTAATACCGTTCTATATCATTTTTTGTTTATGAATAATATGACAACTGATATTTTTATTTCTATAAATGTGGAGTTGTCAAACATAGTAAAAGAACGTACATAACAGGAATGACAGTGGCTGTTTTTTTAATAGCTCTAGGCCAGATGATAAAACCAGACTATAAATGTGTTTATTTGAGACTTTTCATTTCAATTATTCAATTTAAACTGTGTCCAGGCCGTTGGAGTCTATGCCGGTCGGCGTAGGGTTAATGTTTTTTGGTGGCGGCTAAGCCGCCACCCTACTATAAGTCGTTGCTTCGTTTTCTTGTTGCATATTTATGGACTGGTATGCGCAATAGCAAGAAATTATGTAAAAAAGTTTACGTTTTCAATTCAATTTGAGCTGTGTCCAGGCCGTTGGAGCCTATGCCGGTCGGCGTAGCCAGGTACGGGTTAATGTTTTTTGGTAACGGCGAAGCCGCCACTCTACGACTTATCGTAGGGTGGCGGCTTTGCGTCGTTGCTTCGTTTTCTTGTTGCATATTTATTTATGGACCGGTATGGGCAATCACAATTTTCCATTAACTACTAATTTTATCACAATCCGGCAACGTTGCAATTATATTTTCCAAATTTGACAGAAACCATCGAGTTTCCATGTTTACAGTCGTCAAAATACTGATTTTTACAGGATACACATACTAAAGGTATGCTGACTTTCGATTCAAAATTCGTCCAAACCGCGCATGACGTAATGCGGGACGAACTTTCAAGTTATTTTGACACTTTTCGATTTAGTAGTGTAAAGTAATTTAATAATTTATATGTTTTTGTGTTAGTAGTGACTATATTTTCCTATATATAACAGGGAAGAACTAAATTAATGTTTAAAATGCTGGGCTGCGTAGTTGAGATATTTCCGAATGCCACAAAATATGGGTAAATTCTTATCGAAGAAAGGACAAACTTAATTGAAATTGCTCTATCAATTTTGAGGAAAGTAGTTGTGAAATTCCTCTTAAACATAAACGCAAGAAAAGGAAACTGAATTCCATCAGGTGCACGGGCCTCATTAAGCAAAGAAAATAAATAGGTATTTAAAAATTTTAGCAGATAAAACAGTAGTTTCCTGTCCCAATACAACGGTCCTTTTGAGGTAATGCCATGCATGAACAGGACACGAACATATATAAGAATAAGTTAAATGAACAGGAAAATTGGTTTGAGTATTTTCAAAGTAAACTTGACAAAAAATGTTTAAATTTACCAAATAAAAAGTAATGTTTTTGTGTACTTACTTTTTGTAAATAAATAATTTGTTTCTGCACACTTTTTTTTTTATTTCACATAATAAGAAAAGAGACTGCAAGAGAACTACTACGCCCAGAAAGTACAAATTTGAGGCAAACTTGTATTTTTAGTCTATATCTTTTACTTATCTTATGGCCAGGTTATGTATTTTGTCACAAAATACCTATAATTTATGAGAAAAATTAATATTTTTATTGGTATTATTTACCTTAAACCTTCATATTTGTAAACGAATATATTGCAAAATAACCAATAAAGCTGTTTTAACTGCATAAAATCTAAAATTGGCAAAATATCGAATTTTAAACACTATCTCCCATTTAATGCTTATAATTCTATGTTCCACGTGACGTCACAGTCAGTCAGCTGCATGCGCAGGAACATACCGTTAGTCCGTGTATCGTGGATTTTTATAGAAATTAAATAATTTTTTTTGGCTTAAATAATGCATTTACCGCAATTTTTTTTTAAATGTACTCTTTAAAATACGCTCTTTCTGATAAAAAATAAATTTCTTTAAAATTCCACTGGACCTAAAGTCGTCCGTACCCGATTTGAGTTATTGGTTTTTGATATCATGCGTTGTGAACTTGTTATATGGGAAGCAGAATGTCTTTAGAAATTGAGGTGAGAACTACATAAATAATGCTTACTTAGTTGGATCTTCATGTTTTGTTTAGACATGAGTATTGTTTTATTAATATTAATAAAACTATTGTTAATCAAATAATTTGTAAAAATCCTTTTTAATTGCCTATATTTTGTTTCAGATTAGTGCATTTAAAGGAATTGGTGGAAAAGAAGCAATTTGCCAGTAAAAGTAACCTCCAAGTTATTCAACGTTTCCAGAATAAAGTATTAAGAAACATCGGCGATGCATCCTGGTACTGGCGTAATACTGATCTTCATAGGAACCTTAAAGTGGAGACTGTTGAAAATACAATACAAAAATTTTCCAGTAGTCATCAACAACGACTGCTTCGACTTAGAAACCTTGAAATTATCCAGCTCCTCAAAAATGCCAATCTAATAAGAACCAGGCCTTTTGAGTTAGTTCAGTGATGTTAGATTAAAACAGAGTATAGTGCGGTTAAGTGTTATATGTTAATGGTAGTGTAACTAAATAATTAGACTCTAAAGTACACTATATAGTGAGTAGAATCTTAATTTATGAAGTTTTTTATCCCTAAATAAGTTAGGTAAAAAATTGCTAATTGATCTCAATGATTAGATTATAATAATCCTTGTTTCAAATTAGGGTATTTAAAGGAATTGAAATGAAGCAATTCGCTTCTATATTTTATGACATATTGTTTAAAACTTATTTATTTGTTTGTTTAAGAATAAGTGTTTGAGTTTTGTGTATTTTAAATAAACATGTATATTTTTAAATGTCTTTTTTTAGTCTAATAATATATTAGAAAAAAAAAACTAGAATACATTTCTAAAATATTACTATTTAATATTTCTAAAAGATTTCAAATTTTCATTTCAGAAATATTATATTTACGTTTCAGGTATATTTCAGAAATAATTCTGGGATGTTTCATAATATTTATACAACATTGCAATGTTTCAATGTAACATTGTTGAAATATTTCCGAAATGAGTTTGTGCTGTATGAGTACTCTTATCTAACAGTGTAGAAAGGAGTGCTAAAAAACCTTAGATAGAACGTAGGACACTGCGCATTGCTAAAAAACCTTAGATAGAACGTAGGACACTGCGCATACAGCCACTTTCACACAAATCTGTCATGTCAACGAGAATTAATTTTATATAATGAACTTTAGTATGTAATGTATAATAAAAGTGCAAAGTGTAAAGCTGATAAAGGAATCTTACAATCCTAGAAAGACGAGCAGTAGCATGTATTAATAATAACGGACGACATTTAAAACAAATATTGTAGTATAATGTTTTCAGTCTTATCGTTAAAGAAGCATTTTGTTTTTTCATTAAAATGTCGTATCAAAATAGATATAGGTACCTATGCCGTTTTCATCTTATTTATCTTACTGCGGATTTGATTTGGCAACAAACGCAGAATAATTGAAATTAACCCATTTTTAAAGATTAGATTTTAATGTTAACATTGATGCCATTCATCTTGTCACTTTTAACATTTACCTTATTTCATTAACACCCTTTATTATAGATCGTAGATAGGATTAGTTAGGTTTTATTAGAGAAAAAGTGTTAAGTCTTCACTTATTTAATATATTTAAATTTAAAGTAATTGAATCGTTTATTTCGGAAACAACCTAAGTAATTTTTTGAGAATTTTCAGGTGGTGAAAAAAAAAAAAGTTTTGAACTAGGACCAGGACTAATGTTGTTTCAGAAATAAACGAAAATTTTAAATAACTAAAGATGTTTACGGAAGTTAGGTTTCTTCTACATTAATCGTGAAACTACAATGTTAAAATCCCAATATGGACTAAAAGTGACTTAG